TTTACTTGCCTGACTTCTTAACTTCCTCCTTTCAGGCTCCACTCACAAGGTGAGCCAGCCTTTGGGCTAGAACAGCTGAGTGGCCAAGATCAAAACATCAAACTCAAACCTCACTGGGCTCCAATTCCAGCAGGGTCTACTCATTGGGAGGACAGCCTTATTCAAAGATTTGGGCCAGCTCCTACGGAGACCACCTGTCTTCACTGGCCCAGCATCCTCCAGCCTCCAACTACTCAGGACCTGGTTGCTATGTGCTTGCTCTTGTCCTTTTGTGACTTGCGTCTGTTCTAGAATCATAGTGCTGGAAAGAGACTTGATTTCATTTCATTTGGTTCTAAATCCTCTACAGAGGTAGCCACAGTGATCTGCTCAGCTTGGAGAAGTATCCAGGGATTTTGATGACTTCTTTCATTTTATGTTTTATAAGCTAGTCTTCAGTCTCCTGACATTAAAATTATATAAATCTTCAGGAAAATAAAGATAAGGAAGATAGATTGAAAGAAGTGGAAAGAATTCAATCTGCTCATGTAGATGCATAAAGCAAGCTCTAAAGTCAGCTTTTCCACCTGCCCTGATTAGAGAGTGGATTCTCCTGGCCTCCCCAAGTGATGTTATGATCTTGTGGCCAAATTTTCCACTCTTCTCCCTCCTTTGTAAATTCATCTTCTGGACACCACTAAATCACTATCAGGTGGACTTGGTTCTGGCTGTTCTCCGGATTATTCATACATTATACCATCCCACACAAAGAAAGTGTCTAATTCAGACTAATCCATAAACTATTGGGCAAAATCTGGTTTTGTTCTGAGTCGTCAACACCTGAAGGGTAAAGTCAGTTGTCGCTACTTGGCACTCCATTTCTATCCAATTTGATCCCAGTGATATATATTTGATCCCAGTGATATATATCTAACAAAGCTTTGTTTCTGCTCACCCCCCATCTCCCTGCCCTCCCCTGGGAGTCAGGATCTGCTGCTGACTTGCTTGCTCTATCTTTCTGCAGTTTGCTCCCCAATTCTTCTGCCCATTGAGATCCCATTCTCCTTGAGGAGATTTCATTGATGCCCCAAGCCCTCAGTGATTTGATCCTGCTCTACGTTCTCATCACAGTTCCCATCCAAAGCAGAGCTGTCCAAGAGGAGTAAAAAGCAAGCCAGATATGTTTGAACTTCTCCATAGTCACATTTAAAAAAGGAGCAAGTGAAATTAGTGTTAATACTATAGGTAACGCACTATGTGCAGAATATTAACATAAGAGCATATTTATAAACAGTGACATTTTTCACACCTCATTTGTGACTTTCTAAAAATCTGATATGTATTTGGCACTTTTAAGACATCATGAGTTGGACTAGCCACACTGCAAGTGCTCACTTAACAGCCACATGTGGCTAGTGGCTATCCCACTGAACAGCATAGATCTATGCCACTCATTTTTCACTTTTCATTTCCTGCCTTGTCGTGTTAGTCATACTGGTTTTGCATGTTTTCATCATCATGCATTCAACTGTTGGGTGTCTTCTATATAAAGCAGAGTCTGTTCTCTTCCTTTTAAGGACCTCACCTTGGGACTCCCTAGGCAGTTCTCAAACAGTCTGGTCTCTAAACACCTTGATACTCTTAAAAATAACTGACCATCCCAAAGAATTTTTGTCTATTACTAATGTGTATTCAATTTTCGTGTGTGACTTAAAGTTTAAATCTGAGGGAAAAAATTAAAATGTATATTCATTTAAAATGACATTATTTCTAAGGTTTGTTTTTGGTTTGGTTTGATCTGACCCTTTGGGGAGGGGTGGGGAAAAGAAATGCAGGGAGGAGGCACAACAGATTATGGTGAAGGATTTTCAGTGCCTTGGTGGTGGGTGTGGTGTGGCAACATACATCTGAAGGGTATGATCCGTACCTTGAAGTCAAAGTCGTAAATGAACGCTACCTCAATTTTTTAAAATTTTAAAATCAATTAACCAAAAAAGAAGAAATAAAACAACAGTTTTAAATCTGAGAAAAATTAAATTAACCCATTGTATTTAAAACATTTTTATGAAAACAAGTATACTTTCTAACACACACCAAAAAAAAAAAGTATGAGAAGAGTAGCACTGATTTACACTACTGTGTGACTGAAAGAAGACAGTTAGATTGCTATATCTGCTTTTACAATTAAGTGTTTGCAAAATATTTTTTTGATTTACATATTTGGAGAAAACCTGAATGCACACATAGGTAATTGTGAAGGGAAACAGTATTTTAACAGTCTTTTCAGACAATGTGGCTATTCTTTGATACTACACCAAAACTCAACAAATGGTAGTATATTAAGGATTAGTTACTTTGTGGAACGAGAAACCATATCAGCAAATTTTACATCCATTCAATACTATTTCATTAAAATCCATTGATGTATCTTGTATTTGACCTCTCTCCTCCCTTCCCTCTCTCTCCCCAGATCTCCAGGGATCCACAGTCAATACTTTCTACCTCCTCTAGCCACCATAATTATTTTGCCCAGAAGTATTGATCTTTAGAGATTCTCCACCTAAATGAACACTTTATTTTCTTAGTTCAAGCATCTGTCTTAAATCGACCTCCCTATTTCATGAACTGACTCAGACTTCGAGAAAAGGATACCTTTATGTGTCCACTTTATTTTGTCTTCTGAGAATCAAGACTTCCTTTGGGAAGCAGTGGGAAAGGAAGAGAGGCAACATCTCTCTTTCTTTGTGAAGCATGCCTACCTTCTCCTAACTCTTGCACAAAGAATATAAACACGTGTTGGTTTTCATTTCGTGGATGCATCTTACCTCTTCCATCCACGTCTGCCATCGTATATGTAGCAACAAAACTGGGATGTTGGACACACTGAACATACACATACAGAAAGAGACACCGGATGCCAAGGTAGCAGCTGGTAGTAAAGGGGGTGGCACAGCAAAGCTTACTGGGACAAGACAGCTTGATGCGGGTACTATCTGCTCCTCTGCATATAGACCTCCTTTCCACCAAAACGGACAATGTCTTGTACAGAGGGTTTACTATCTATTTTTCTGAAGTTCAGTTCCCAATGGCTGTGTGCCCTCTACTGCTACCTCAGAGGCATTGCAATTACAACTCAACTTTCCTTTCCAAAATAAGTTCTGCAGTATTAACGCCATGCCAGATGGGGTCTGAGAACTTCAGATGTAGTGTTTTACGTAATTCTCACAACACCCCATAGGACTCAATGGCATTCTTATTGCCAGTCGACAGCCAAGGAGACCGAGGATTCGTGGGACAGAGCAATGCTAATGCATGGTAAGGAGGAAGAGTCAAGATTCAGACTCAGGACTGTCTGATTCCAGAAATGCCATGTAGACAGTCTCCTTCACTAAAAATCTTACCTGCTTTTGTGAGAAAAGCAATAAATTGCTCTGAGAGTTATGGAAGAATTAAGTTTAAGGGTTTAAACACAAAATGTAAAAGAGGCTCAAGGCTTATTCTACTGTTTAGACATATGGTGTATACTGTGATTCTCCAGCTTTCCCTTGAAATAGCAGGACAGCCAGCCAGTGCATTCAGAAATCCTCAGCGTAACCTAATAGACACATTGCCTACAGAGTCCCAACACATTTAGCAAGTTATATGATTCTATAGCACCGTGTTTATACTGTACATAAGCTGATCATTTCTGCCAAGCAGAAATTAGAAAATGAGGTTTGACAGCAGGTAAACATCTGTATTACAAACTCATCCAAAAAATTTCTACTTGCTTGGTCAGTGAAATCACCCCTAGTCAGTCTACTATATATTTTTATGTCAGCACTGTTTTTCTCAGAATTGATTCCTTAGACGATCAGGACTAAATGTCATTTTCCTTCGTGTTTCAGTGCCCACTTCAGTCTGCTGTACAGCAGGTATTCAAGAAATATTTACTGAACAGATGGAAGGCTTGTTGGAGTTCCATCCATTTCCTGTCCTGAGGCGGCTTTTTCAGGTGACTGGGCCAGTCCAGCCCTTCATTTCTGTCAACCCTTAAGATCTCATAAGCTAATAAAAGCACTATTTAAAGTTGATACAGGCAAATCCTAACTTTCACAACCTCACGCTTGTGAAACATGAGATTTGACTCGACTTCAGTTACAAAGGCCTATCCCAGTACCTGTCCATTAACCCGAAGAAATAAAGAGGATTTTGCTTCAATGGTGTGCAGCACTTACTTTTTAGTGAACAGCTGTAGAGGGAGCATGCATTTGAGCCACGAGAGTGGCTCTGCCAAGCTCCTTTGCCAGGAAGAACTTTATACGGGTTGTTATTACTATAGTGCTACGTATACATGTGTGTATATAATGTAGGTCTCACTACTGTGCTATAGACAATAGTCTATACAGTACTAGACATATGGTTGTTGGGGGGATCTGGGAACACTCAATTTCCTAATAAATGAATGCTAACTCTCTTACAGGACATATTTCAGCTGACAGAGGTTTCCTAGGAAAACTCTTTCAGATGAGGGTATTACATCATGGTGGGGGGGGATCTCAATTCTGTTTGAATACTAAGTTGAAAAGGGTAGAAGAGGTTCTCTCTCTCTCTTTGTCTATATGACTGTGTGTGTGTAC